TGAATTCTCATAAACTTCTAATTTATGCCTTAGATATGACTCAATTCGACCAGACTTCCCAGAAATCATTTCTAATGGAACAGGATTTTTAGAGTGATTTAAAAGACCTTGATATGCTCTTTTGACTAGGCTATCTGGAAGTCTATCAGTAATATGTTTATAGTCAGAATGAAACATTTTATTAGATATAGTTTTGCGCAAAAAATGTTTGCATGCAAAAATAGACCCATAGCATCACATATCAGATAGGAGGGTTAGCTAAATCATGTATTTTTAGCTGAGACGCCCTGGCTGAAATTTGCCAAGAAATTTTTTATTAGTTCATGAACATATATTTGTGAAATAGACTGCTAGGGTCAGTTTTATTATAATACAAATAATAATAGTACATAGCACTAAAGCTAAAGAATAAGCTCATCTATAATTTCATATCTGCCAGCGATATCCCGAAACCTAGCACTCATCCTCACATTTTTAAACTCCCTGTCATACCAAAAATGGACGACATTTAATCCCTTTTCTTGAAGTTTCTCACATGGCCAATACGGATTTGTTACAATATAATCTTCATAGGAGAAGTGTACGATCCAGATCTCTCGAGGATGGAGTTGCTCTTCATACTTAAACACTTGTTCGAAATGGCCATTTAGTTTGGGAATTGATGCCATTGCCAATAGTTCGAGAAGAGCTTCCAGATGGGAACTATCAGGCTTCTTTATGGTTAGGTCGCAATAAAGGTGATGGTAGTCCCCATCATCACAAACTTGTTCGAGATGCCACTGGCCAGTGATCTCATATCCATAGATCTTTCTTAACCAATTTACTAGAACCCGGTACATTTCAGCATCGTATGTACTTTCCCTTGAAACTTTGATATAATGCTCAGAGTTTACATACAAGTGATTTGAACTTTTGTATGAACGGGAGGAACCTAAAGCTATTATACCTTGGTCAAAGTCACGTACTGCAGTCTTTAAAATTTCCAAAATATCTATAGTCCCATCACTCCACAGTGGGATATCTGCAGAAACATCTAAAACTTTGCTAATACTTCGTTTTTTAGCAACAGGAGCAGAAGAAACTAACAAATCTGATTTTGGAGGGACTGGCTTTTTTACCACCTCTTCTTGTAAGTTAGAAGTATCGGCTAAAGGTTTGCGACCTTTTTTCCCATTAACCTATATATAAAAATGGATAAATCAAACCCCTCAGTAATAAGTATCATCATTGGGGATAATGAAATAAAAAATATTATTTTTAGAATGGTGATACCAGAAGTAACAACTATGGATCCCAAAAGGATCTGCCTAAAACACGGAATATTACTCAGTATACTTTTATCGAAAGGAAGGTACATAACCGAATCCTCCTCCAGAAACAGTAGACCTTTGTCAAAAAGTATCGCTAAATAATCTCACGACATCTAACAGAATGAATATGCTAAAGCACTGCAATAACCGAGGGCTTATATATCCCCAAGCGAAAGCTTCTTGTGCTTAACATACCATATCTAAAAAATGCGTGTTTAGGCCTGTGAAATGGAAAATGCATACCTTTTTCTTAAGTAAGAGATCTCTAACAACTTCAAGGATCTCCTGTGAGGCCATCGGATCATCACGAAAAATATATAATGTATTGTAAAATACTGTATGTGTCTCGTTTCTTTCAGTAGGTCTAAACATATTAGTTGACCAGGATATGAAATGCCGAAGAAATCATATACCGCATGGAAAGAGCCAAAAGTATTCAATTTTGCCTTTTTCGAAAGCTCTCGTTCCCTCTTTTAATATCTTAGCTTGTTTTTCAAGCTTCATAGCAGGTCCCCGCTTCATACCATCCTTCATAAACTTTTTTTCAGTCATGTCTGGGAAGGTTTGGCCATCTATTTTCTGCTTACAAAGAATTTTGAAATCGTCCTCGTCAAGATTTATATCCAGGTCACGTAAAAAAATAACAAGAGTCTCGGTATCCCAGTTTTCGACCAAAGAGAAGCAGTTTGAAGAAGTTGTAGAAGTAGAAATGATTTATTAGCTATTAGAAGTAAAAAACAGAAAAAATAAGAAATACGTATATCGAACTTACCCTCTATGATTTACGGCCTTTATAAATAAAAAGAGACGCGTTAGTGTTCGTTTTTAGCAAGAGACGCATATACTTATGTTTTGTAATAATGCAGATATCGCAAATTGGCATATTGCTATTTTAGTGTGATTACCATTACGTTACTTAAGAGCTAATCTAGAATAGGCAGATCATAATCTTTATTCTGCATAAACCTGCAGGTGGTACATTTCACTAGATGGATCAAAAATTTATGTCGCACATGCCTACATGCATTGACCATGAGGCGTGAATAATATATTATTTTATTAAGACAATATTCGGAATCTGGATCAAGGACTGATCTGGAAAATTTGGCGTACTAATGTACTATTATCATCCAGGTGATACATTTCACAATTTTACTAGGCAGATTATATAGCTATTCATTTCACAAAAAAATAAAGGCTAAATATAGTTGAGATAGATAATGTTAATAATTATTCAGTTAAAAGATATTAAGTCTATCTCCTTCCTTACATTTTTTCGCACAGAAGCCCAGTACTCATCAACATCAATAAAGCTAAGCGCACTTGCACTATGCTGAATTAATGCAAAAGGCTTTGGTGGTAATGGAGGAGGAGTCAATGAACATGGCTCATTAATCAAATTAGATGTAAAGCTCTTGGTTTTCATAGACTTAATTGGCACAATATTTTTGGGTTTAATAGACTCACTAGGCATGATATAGTTGCATTGTATTCTTGCTATGGCCAATCTATCAGATAATTGGCGTCTCTTATGCTTTGAATAACTTATATAATCATAAAATTGATTTTTTCACATAACATGATAAGGTTTATACCCTCCATCAATAGAATACCATATATCCATATTTACAGTACAACGAATTCCTCTACCAGGCATGCAAAGGAACTTCTTTTCCTTAGGAGTATTATCATTTCTAACCACTTCCCAAATTTGTTTTGCTAATGAAACAGGCCTCGTATCTGTTACAATACCCCACACTTTATCCATATCATATTCATCATCGATTTCATTAGCTTTGCGTTTATGACATGTTAGGGATGATTCCATCTGCACGGTAGCTTGCGCGAAGCCCTGTTTAAAGTTATCTCTTTTGACCTCGACCAATCCCACTATCCTTCCTGTTGAATGACATTCTATCGCCAAATCGAGATTTCCTTGCCCATTATGACCCTTGACGAGTTTTTCCAGGACTATTTTAAAATTTTTCTCGTATAATGATACACCGCTAGCTAGGTAACAGTACGAATAAATAGATTTCATTACCTCATATGCCAATATCAATGGGGTTGTCTTTTTACGAAGGTTCAGTTTGGCCATTAGATGGTTAACCACAGCTTTGGACTTATCGCAACTTAGGTCAGTAGTACCACATGAAAAAGCAGAGTACACGTCAATGTCGGGATTCGGATCATCGCTAAGCTCATAGAGTTCACACACTTTCGGAAAGGTCAACTCGTTAAATGGTTTTGATGGCGTCTCGATAAACACAGTAAACTTGAAATTCTTCTTTAATATGAATAGCCGGAGCACTTTGCAGAGATCTTGATCGTTCCAAGGTGAATATCTTTTCCCATCACTTATTAACTTTAATACCGCAGAATCATTCTCGAGAGCCGGTGGTTTCTCTATTTTTTGTATATATTCTTTAAGGCCTTTGAGAGTTGCGTCCTCGATATTTACGGTCCACTTGAAGCCTTTAGTTCGTTTCGGACTAACTACAACGTCAAAATCTACAATGCAATAACAGGGTTAGTAAGAATACCACGAAGTCTCTCAACCTAAAATTTTCACATATTACGTATCATAAACAAACTTGTTGATCAATGCACGAAGCGAGGCGACTTCCTCAAGTAATTCCTGTTCACAGCTCGAAGTGGCGGTAGTCTCTGGTGGACGCTGTATGATTATATGTATGTGTTCGTCGGCTGGCTGGAAGGGAAAGTGTTTGCTAATTTTCGAAAGTGGAAGAAGTTCCGCACCACCAAGCTCCTCCTTGATATTAACGTTAATTTTTGTATTAACGGCGATTAATTTTTCATTTTCTTCTTCGAGGAAAATGTCCACCTTCCATAACTTGAGTTTGTCTGTAGCGAAATTATCAAACTCAGGTATATTTTCTCCTTGATAGCATCCTTGAGTTCACTGACCGCTTCTGTCTTATTAACTTTACGTTAAAAGCATTTTCATAAGAGTTTTTACCTACAACCAAACAACTGAGAGTGATAGTTGACATAGCGCTTTTATATGGTTATTAGGCTCAGACAAAAAAATAGTGTTACTTTCCGGAGTGAGATAAAATTCTGGGATGGGAAAAACAAGCGCTAATATATGATTTTATGTCGCACTGGTATTACATCATTACACGTGATATTTTTCAAGATTTATGATAAGAACGTAATATATGCTTTATTTATGAAATAAAAAATATTGGCGGTAGCCGGTCTACAATACATAAAAACTATTACATAGTATGATAATAAAATATAGATAAAAAATTCTAACTAGTCGCTAGGGAAGAATTCGGATATGAATACGGTCTTCATCATCAGGCATCTCATTAAAATAGGAGAAAATCCTATCTTCTGTTCGCATAGGCTTCTCCTCAGGATAAATTTGGTGGAGGAAGTCGTTACGGTTGATTGACCCCAGCTTCTTTCTTACTTCTTCTTCAAGATCAGAGACTGTTTTATCCTTGGAAATCTCAATCACGAAAAGTATATTTTTATTTCCGACATTACGATAGCAGAAGTTAAGACTCACAATATCATTATCTGCGCTAGTAGATATCTTGTTTTCCTAAATACAAGGCTCATAGTGAGAAAACAAAACTCGCTCTCATACATACACAGCTTCTGGCATATACATACCTTGTTTTGCGTTATTTTTACAGGAATGTTTTTTTGCAGAAAGTTGGCCCAGTTCTAAAGGGACCTCTGAACTTCCACATACTCCTACATGCTTTATATCTTGCTGGGAAAAAGTTAAGGAGGTATGAGGCGTGATTAGAATTGTCGTATGATGCCAAGAGCTCTATGAAAGCACATGTAAACGGAATCTTCATACCTTTTCACATGTAGATCTACCGAAAAGACATATAGTTGGCTTTACGCCTGACGATCTCGAAATTCCAAAGTCCTCAGCCTTTCATAATATATGCTTTTGTCGGCACTATTTGCTTTTAGGGTAAGTCCTGTGTTGTAACTAGACCTCCTTTCACATTTTCTCACATTTGTTCGGGAAAAAAATAGAGGTATTGGTTAGTGAATATATATGCAAAATTAATATGCGAAAATGTTGCACAAACCTATTATGTGATCAGCCTATTTTTGTCGCACAGGAGTAACCCCGCTTGTGGCGCAAAAAATTCTGATTAATGATCACCATTCCGGCCTGTTGTTCCAGTCAACCAACCCTGGATCGGAATATCACTGCAAACTATCCCGCATACATAGAGATAAAAGGTTCAGAGCTGAATACTAATTATTAGCAACATTATGCTGTACAAGAGGTCTCAAAGGGACCTGATAATCTCTAAATGCGCTAATAAAATCAGGAGGCGTTATAGTATCCAC